GCAGCTGGTGCGGTGGCTTTGGTTCCTGGGGGGAGGTGTTATTTTTGGGGTAGGGGTGCGGGAACGTGAGAGGCGCCTCCCCCCAGGGCAGGAAGTGGGGTGGTCCCAGCTGTGTTCTCCCGTTGGCCCACCTGTCCCAGTGGGCACCACAGGCCACCGCACAGGAAATGTTCCCAACGTCCCGCCTGTGTGGCCTCCTGAATCTGGGGCCCAGAGGGGAGGCAGCCGGTGGGGAGGGTGCAGGGGCCTGCCACTGTGAGTCAGAATCTTCCAGAAGCCCCCAGGTGTGGTAACAGCAGTGCCTGTGGAGTAAGCGATTATGCATTTATAGACCGTTTAATGGGTTTATAGACCTCCCCCCCAACCCCCGCAGCATCTTGGGGAAGGAGGGACTAATGATGAATTTGAGTTTTACAGGTGGGGATGCTGAGGCTCAGAGACGCAAGTGACTTGCCCGAGGTCACACAGCATATAAGTAGCAGAGCTGGGAATCTCATTAGCATTTACTACCAGATACACTAACTCCACAATGACCTCCAACCCTATAATGTGGACAGGGCCTACCACCTGGGTTCGATTCTGCTCCCAGAACCCTCAGAGATTCTGTCTCCACTGGGGTGTCTGGAGACATTTTTGGTTGTTCCGACCGGGGGTACTCCTGGCATGGAGTAGGTGGGACCAGGGACGCTACTCAGCCCCCGACCCCCACAGTGCCCGGGACACCCCTACATAGAGTGACCCAGCCCCGGCGTGTAGAGTTGTGCCAAGGTGAATAATAGTAATTAACATTTCATAACGATACCAGCTATTATTATTAATCACATTATTTTAAGTATAATAATTATTTACCGGTTTTACAGATGAGAAAACTGAGTTCCAGAGAGCCTGTATTTTGGACCCCCAGCCCTTCTCAGGTACATGAATCCTGGCTGCTTCCATAACACCCTGTCAGCTTTGCAAGAAGGAGACCCGGTGCCAAGAGGGGATATAACGAAGACTCAAACCCACAGCCCCAAAGACAGGCTCAGACCTCCCTGGGTGCCCCTCTCAGCGTGGCCACGCCCTGGGGGTCCAGGCTGGCCGTGTCACCTGCCTCAGCTCTGTGACCCTGAGATGGGTTCCTCCCTCCTTAGCTGAAGCAGTAAAAATAAGAGTCTCCGTGGTGCTCAGAGAGGCACTACCGAGGGTGGTTAGGGGATCTCATCCTGGCTTTGCGAGCCTGGGCACCTCCTGCACTTCTCTGAGACTCTGTTGGCTTGTCTGTGAAATGGGGCATTCATGTCCTAACTCACAGATGATGGAGAGGATTAAATGAAGCAGTCCACAGCTTAGCTTGGTGCCTGGGGCACGGTGAGCACCATATAAGGCTTGGATATTGCTATGATCAAAAACATTTTAATGGTGGTAAAATACACATACATAAGCTTACCTTAATTTATCTTAGCCATTTTTAAGTGCACACCTCAGTGGCGTGAAGCACATTCACATGGTTGCGCAGCCATCCCCACCTATCCCTTTCCAGAACATTCTCATCTTGCAAAACTGAGACTCAGTCCCCATGAAACACTGACTCCCCATCCCCTGCCCCAGGCCTGGTGCCCACCACCTACTCTCTGCCTCGGTGGATGGGACGCCTCTAGGGACATCCTAGAAGTACAAGTAGACAGGAATTTTCCGTTTGAGATTGCCCTACCTCATTTAGCGTAACATCCTCGAGGTTCATTTATGTTGTAGTGTGTATCAGGATTTCCTTCCTTTCTAAGGCTGAGTAATATTCCGTCACATGGATGGACCACGTTTGTTTATCAGCTCGTCCACCTGTGGACACTCAAGCTGTGGGACCAGCGTGATGATAATGGAAAGAGTAAGAGTCTAGAAGGATATTAAAGGTGGATCCAGGGCGCCTGGGTGGCTCAGTCGGTTGAGCGACTGCCTTCGGCTCAGGTTGTGATCCTGGAGTCCCGGGATCGAGTCCCGCATCGGGCTCCCTGCTCAGCAGGGAGTCTGCTTCTCCCTCTGACCCTCCCCCCCCATGTGCTTTCTCTCTCTCTCATTCTCTCTCTCTCTCTCAAATAAATAAATAAAATCTTCAAAAAAAATAAATAAATAAACAAAGGTGGATCCAATGGGATTCGTCAAGGAATTGGTTAGGGAATGTGGTTTTAAAAAATACACCCATGGGGCACCTGGGTGGCTCAGATGGTTAAGCGTCTGCCTTTGGCTCGGGTCATGATCCCGGAGTCCTGGGATCGAGCCCCACGTCCGGCTCTCTGGTCAGTGGGGAGCCTGCCTCTCCCTCTCCCTCTACCCCTCTCCCTGCTGTGCCCTCTTTCTCTCTCAAATAAATAAATAAAATCTTAAAAAAAAAAAAATACACCCACAAGGGGTGCCTGGCTGGCCTGGTCAGTAGAGCATGTGACTCTTGATCTCCAGGTTGTGAGTTTGGGCCCCATGTTGGGCAGAGAGCTTACTTAAAGTAAAAAACAGAACAAAAAAAAAAAATAAAAAAAACCATCCACAAATGTTCTGATACTCCTTTAAAAACGTGGAGCCTAATTCTCTTCCCTGTGAGTGTGGGCTGAACTGAGCGACTTGTTTCTTAAAAACAAAACACGGCAGAAGCGACTGTGTCAAAAACCTCTGAGACTAGGTCATAAAAGTCATCCTGCCCTCCCTGCTCTCTCTTGGATCACCTGCTCCAGAGGAAGCCAGTGGCCATGTTGCGAGGACACCCAAGAAGCCCAGGAGGCGCCAAGAGTTGTGTGGTTGGGGCTTCTCGGGGAGGGGCTTCTCCAGCCCCAGTCAAGCCTGTAGTCACTCTCTCTGGCTGCTGTGTGGACAATGGACTAAGGGGCGAGGGGTGAGAGTAGAGCCCCCTGGGAGGCTGCTACCGTGATCATGCAGGTAAGCGCTGATGGTGGCCTGGCTTCAGGGGGTGGCAGGGGAGATGGAGAGAAGTGGACAGGTTAAGCAATTACTTAGGAAATAAAACAAACAGGACTTGGGAGAATAAAAGGCTGAGGTGGGGTCTTCATAGACATGGGGAGCTGAAGGCAGAACAGCTGGGGTACAGGTGGGGAGAAGACAAGATGACAGGTTTAGTGTGGCCGCATCGAGTCCACGTCCCTGAAATGTTCAAAGGCCTCCGCAAATGTAGCTACTTGTATGAAAAGACTAGACTAGTGGCTCTCAACTCAGGGTGATTCTGCCCGCCCAAGGGATTCTTGGCAGCATCTGGAGAAATTTCTGTTGTCACAACTTGGGGGATGCTAGTGGCATCTAGTGGGTAAAAGAAGGAGATGCTGTTCAACCTCCTACAATGGGCAGGATTGTCCCCCATAAAAGCAACATTGGACCCAAATGTCAATGTGCAGAGCTGGAGGAATCCTAGGGTAGACCAAGGGCTGAAAGGAGCAATAGTCAATTTCAGCAGATGTTGTTTATTCAATAAAGTTTTATTCCTTGTCTTTGCAACAATCAAGTGCAGATCAAGTTTCCTGGGCAGCTCCCCTTCAAACATTCCACCCCAAGCAGCTGGCAAAAAAGGGAAAGAGAGAACAAGATTCCTGTGGCAAATTTTTAATGGATCCGGCCTCAAGTGACTTCCATCACTGGGCCAGATCAGTCACATGGCCATTGGCCACGATCACCTTATGTCCCGTTGGCCCGATCAATCACATGGCCACACCTGGCTGCATGGGATGCTGGGAAATATAGTCTAGCCATGTGCCCAGGAGGAAGAAGGAAAGTGTGATGTGATTAGAGCTAGTCCTTGCCGTGGTGTTACTGTCCTCATGATTTCTGTTATTATTTGGACCTGTCATCTGCAGCGATGACCCTTGAAAGTCATGCATGTTTCAGGACCTGGTAGAGGAGGGTGAGAGGTGCTGCCTGGTATGGCTGGAAGGCTTCCGGAAAGAGGAGGCATGGATGATGTGGCTTTGAAGAAAGCAGACGCTAAAAATCTGAGAAGTGGGAGAATAAGAACGGTGTGGCATCAGGGAAGTCATTCCTTCATCCCTGACCATGCAGATCCTTGTAGGCCAGGGTGAGTGCCGTGGGGACCCAATGGGCTGAGGTGGCCTGATTTGTGCTGAGAGCCTTCTAGTTGCTTGAGGAATCAGATCACCAGGTAAAATACAGGACACCCACTTAAATTGGAATAGCAGATAAACAACAAATGATTTTTTTAAGCCTCAGTATATCCCAGACATGGCATGGGACATACTTATGCTAAAATAGTATTGTCCATCTGAAATGCAAATTTAACAGGGCATCCTGGATTTTTATGTGCAGGGAGGACAGAACGTAGCAGACAGGTCAGGTGCAGGTGACTGATGATCATGGATGAGACATGGGCAGATGTGCAAGCCCTGTGTTGGGAGAACTTTGGCTTCTACCCCGAGTGAGGTGAGATAGCCCTGAGAGGCTGTGAGTGTAGGAGGGCCGTGCCCTGACTTGGGTAAGAGGCCCCCCCAGACCCAACCCTGGCACTTGGCAATCACCTGCCCCCGTGGTTTGCCCCAGCCCAGCGTCCTTCCCCTTCAACAGTGCTGACATTTGGGGCCAGATCATTCTCTTTTTTTAAGTTTTTGTTTTAAATTTCACTTAGTTAACATACAGTGTAGTATTAGGTTCAGGTGTACAATACAGTGATTCAGCATTTCCATACATCGTCACAGCAAGTGCATGACTTAATCCCCATCACCTATTTAACCCATCCCCCGGCCCACCTTCCCTCTGGTGACCATCTGTGTGTTCTCTGTAGTTAAGGGTCTTTTGGGGGCCAGATCATTCTTTTTTTTTTTTTTTAAGATTTTATTTATTTATTTGAGAAAGAGCGAGCGAGAGAGCACAAGCAGGGAGAAGCAGGTTCCCAGCTGAGCAGGGAGCCCCACTTAGGGCTCCATCCCAGGACCCTGGGATCATAACCTGAGCCAAAGGCAGACACTTAACCGACTGAGCCACCCAGGCGCCCCAAGGGGACAGATCATTCTTAATTGTGGGGGTCTGTCCTGTTCACTGTGGGATGTTGAGCAGCATTCCTGACCCCCACCCACTCAATGCCAGGAGCACTCGAAGTCATGACAACCACAAACGTCCCCAGACATTGCCCAGTGTCCCCTGAGGGGCAGGATCCCTTTGGGTGAAACCCACTGGGTTAAGGGATTCTGTGGACCCCCAGGAGACTACATTCTATAACCATCTGACCGACTGAGGATATCCTGGGATACTGCATATATTTAAATACACACATTGAGTGGGAGGGAGAGGAGGGAACTCACAGACGCTGGGGGGGGGGTCACCCTGGTTTCCTTCGCTTGATCCATCGGGGATTTATTCTGGTGTTTAGTGTGAGCTAGGGATCAAACTGAATTTTTCCCCCAGATAATGAATGCACGTTTTCTCCCCGCTGGAGCTATGGACCTTTGGGGCCAGATCATTCTGTGGGGTGAGGCCAGCCTGGGCATCGCGGGACAGTGGGCAGCATCCCTCCCTGGCCCCCATTCACCCAATGCCAGGAGCAGCCCCTGTGCCCCTCGGTGGTGAGAACCAGGACCATCAGACTTTGCTAGTGCGGCTGGAAGGCAGAATCGCCGCAGTTGGGGACCCCGGGTCGAGGCACTGTAAGACCCCAGTACGGAAATGGGTCTGGAGCCCTAACCAGGGAGGAGGCTCCTGGAAGACCTTGTCAGTTCCCTTCATCTTCTCCTGGCCTTCAGTAAACTATCTGGGGCAGGGAGAAACTGATGCCTAAGTGGCTGCATTGTGGGAAGTTTTAGGCACGTGCCATCCACACCCCAACCCATCTGAAGCCCATCTGTGCCAGACAAAAAAAGGGCTGCCCGTAGAGTCTGATAAAGCTTTTAATATTTAGAAGTTGGGGCACTTAATTCTGGTACTCCTGGCTCTCGGGTGATGCTGCCCCCTCCAGCCGTGGGCAGCTGTCTGGGTCCACAGGGGCACTGGTGATGATGATGGGAACCTTGGCCTTCACACTGGTCAGGGACCAGGGCAGGTGGACCGTGCTGACCAGCTCGTAGTGGGTACTCATGATCTCGCCGTCCCGCATGCCGCTGCTCACGGACAGCACCTGCGGGAGGTTGAGGGTGCTGACGATCTTGGTGGTGTTGAAGGGCGTGATCTGAGTGTTGGCCTCCTGCCGGAGCAGCTCACTGCTGTCCACCCGAGACCGCCGCTCTGCACTGGGGGTGAAGCCCTCACATTGCACGTGGATGTAGAGGGCGAAGGTGACCATCTTGATGCACTTGCTGGTCTGGTTGTTGATCTCCGTGGTGAAGACGACCCTCTCCCCCGGAGTAAAAGTGTTCTTTTCCATCTGGATTTGGAGGCAGATGGCGCCCTGGCTGCAGCAGTTGTAGGAGACCTTCTTCTCAGCCTCCACCAAGAGAGGGGTCTAGAAGGGGGGATGGACAACTGTGAGGGATGGTGGACACAAGATCTGCTCGCCTGCCTGACATTCCTCCATCATAGCTCCTGCAAACCTCGAGCTTTTGGGACTTTCCTAAGTAAGAGGCACTGAAACAGGATCTGGAGCCTTGGGGATTTGGCAGCCAAAAGCCCGGCATGATCTCCCGGCTTGCCTTAATCAATACCCTTTGCCTTTCTGAGTACCAATTTCCTCATCATAAGCCTAAGAAATCCACAAGACCCTGGCTTGACCCCCACCTCCCATGCTCACTTGCTGTGTGACCTTGAGCAAGTGCCTTGACTTCTCTGGGCCTTGGTTTTCTAGAAGACAGGAAATGTCTCACAGTCTAAGCCCAAGACTTGGGGCTTACCCAGGCAGTTCAGACTTTAGGAGAAAATATTACGGGCTCTGAATCATGAAAGGAAAACCGTAGCGTTGAAAGTATGTAGTGTGGGGGCACCTGGGTGGCTCAGTCGTTAGGCGTCTGCCTTCGGCTCAGGTCATGATCCCGGGGTCCTGGGATCGAGCCCCGCATCGGGCTCCCTGCTCGGCAGAAGCCTGCTTCTCCCTCTCCCACTCCCCCTGCTTGTATTCTCTCTCTCGCTGTGTCTTTCTCTGTCAAATAAATAAAATCTTTAAAAAAAAAAAAAAAGAAAGTATGTAGTGTGTTTAAATAAATGCCTCAAAACGCAGCCATTCTATCAACTAGTCAGCTGCTGATGTGCAAATAAAGTCGCACATACATTATATTTAATGAGTGGCTTCGGTGACATTTTACTTTTTATTTGTGGATAACATCTTAAAGGATTTGATGTGATGTGGCAGGGGGGGCGCGGGGGGCCTTAGAATGATCACTCTCCACTTTTGCTGGCTTCCGGTGTCTCCTTGTAGAGAAACTTGATACTTTTACAAGCGTGCGTGCGTGTGTGTGTTCTCTTTCAGCATACCGAGAGAGAGAGAGAGAGAGAGAGAGAGAGAGAGAGAGAGAGAGAGAAAATAGTGTGAAAAATACTGCCCAAACTCCCCTCCCACTTCCCATTAGTGACATCAAGTTGTTCACTTGAAATTGGCCCTGATGGGTGTTATTTTCACCAGGGAAATTGGGAAACATGACACATCACGGCTGGTTGTTAACCATTTCCTAGTACAGCACGGCCATATTCCTAAGACCCGCTTCATCAGCATTTACAAATTCTCCTGATTTGTTTCAGACCTCTGCTCATTTACAAAATGAGATTGCAGAGTTGCACAACCATGTGAATGTACTCAACACTAATGGTTAAGATGGTAAATTTTATGGGCGCCTGGGTGGCTCAGATGATTGAGCGTCTGCCTTTGGCTCAGGTCATGGTCCCAGGGTCCTGGGATCGAGTCCCGCATCAGGCTCCCTGCTCCTGGGGAGCCTACTTCTCCCTCTGCTTCTCTCTCTCTCTCCCCCTCTCTCTCTCCCTTTGTCTCTCATGAATAAATAAATAAAATCTTAAAAAAAAGATGGTAAATTTTATGTTATGTATATTTTGCCACAATTTAAAGTAAAAACATGAGAGATCTGGTTGAAGGCCCCAGGGACCCCCTCCCTAATGCCATCCCCTCATACTCCTTGGCTCCCTTTATCCTGAACTGGGGGTTTATTATATCTGGATTTTTAAAAAAGATTTATGCATTTATTTGAGAAAGAGTGAGCACAAGCAGGAGGGCAGAAAATTCTGCCTCTACCTGGTTGAGCCCCATCATGGGGTTGCTCTCGGCCATGAGTTGGTGAACTTTTTCTGGAAAGGAACTGATGACAAATATTTTAGGCTTTGCAGGCCACACACAGTTATGTGTCATATACTCTTCCCCCCCCTTTTTTTTAAATCACCGCTCATGGTTAAAACATAGATTTTAGTATCGTGGCAAAGAACACAAATCTGTATTTTCATCTTCACCTAGATCTATGAAAGAGAAATATGTTTCATGAACTACTACTTATGCCTGCTGGTACATTCTGCTTTATTCCATTTATTGTATTCATTTAAAAATGTTCATTGCGGGGCGCCTGGGTGGCTCAGTCGGTTGTGTCTGCCTTCGGCTCAGGTCATGATCCGGGAGTCGCGGAATCAAGCCCCACAGCGGGCTCCCTGCTCAGCAGGGAGCCTGCTTCTCCCTCTGACCCTCAAAATGCAGCCATCCTATCAACCAGTCAGCTGCTGATTTGCTCCCCCTATTTGTGCTCTCCATCAAATAAATAAATAAATAAAATCTTTAAAAATATATTCACTGCAACCCTCTGGATTTGTTTTCCTGTTATGTTTAGTCTTTCTTTATTCTATTATTTTGCTTTATATAAAACCAACATTTTGTAAACATTAGCTGGTTGTAACCCACCAAATTAAATTTGTTCTGATAAATTCTATATTCTACTTATTCACAACTATTATATCCTGTCCAACACATTGATGTTATAAAAAACAAAGCTGTTGTAACCCACCATATTTATATTTTGTTTTATTCTTTCATTTTTTAAAAAAAGTTGATTGCAAGGGGCGCCTGGGTAGCTCAGTTGTTAGGCGTCTGCCTTCGGCTCAGGTCATGATCCCAGGGTCCTGGGATCGAGGCCCGCGTCCGGCTCCCTGCTCCGCGGGAAGCCTGCTTCTCCCTCTCCCGCTCCCCCTGCTTGTGTTCCCTCTCTCGCTGTCTCCCTCTCTGTCAAATAAATAAATAAAATCTTAAAAAAAAAAAAAAGTCGATTGCAAGCCACCAACCATATTTTCTTCACTTCCTGTTCTACTTATTTTATTCTCTGTTCTGTTTTCTTATTCTATTGAAAAAAACACACACAATGTTTGCAACCCACAAATTGACTTTTTTTTCTGATATTTTCTAGTTTAGTCTTGCATATTCTCTCATTTTATACAAATATACTTGCACCTCGCTAAACTGATTTTGCAACCCATGATCTGGTCGTGACCTGAGGTTTGAAAAACACTGCTCCAGATTGGATGCCTTTCCTCTTGGGAGACCTGGGGCTGACCCCTGACACCAGGTGACCTCACCTCTACCCTTGCCTCTGGCCCCCTGGCCTCCTCAGCCGTCCCCTCCCCCCCTCTCCTCCAGGAGGCTAATTGCAGGCAGTTTTATTCTAAATCCCTCCAGTCTTATTCGAAAATTCCTCGCATGCGTTAGGACCCTGCGGGCATTGAGGAACTTGCTGCCCTAACTCAAGGCCAAGCCGGTAGTCCCGGCCTGTACCTGAGAGAGGGGCCCAACAATTCCAACAGTGCCCAGTGGAGACTCCCACACGAGGTCAGGCAGGGTGGCCAAAGCGCCCTGATTCCCAGTAATGTTGGGGATATACACCCAACACTGGATTTCCTGGATCTGGGAGTGTTTGGGAGCCCCGCATTCCTTTGGCATATGTGAAGCTTTGGGGGGATTCATCCAAACAGTATTTATTGTCATCAGCTTGGTGACAAGTCCAAGGAAAACCCATAGCTGTTAAGACGAGCCTGGTCCCTGCTCTGGCGGGGTTGGGGGGAGGTGGGGAGATGGACACACAGTCGGCTCACTGAAAATGAACCAGGTCATTTCTGTTAGGGACAGTGATGAGGTTGTGGCTGGAGGCAAACCAGGGGTGTGAACTAGGGAGAGGTGCGGTGGAGGCTCCCTTGGAGCCAATGGTTAGGAAATGTCTCTGGGACAAGCTCCTTTCCCAAATGGTACCAGCTGTTGAAAGAGACAACACAGCTCTGTCTTTCAAGATTCTAAAGGTACAAAGAGTAGAGAGGAGGTGGGGATATTGGAGCTCATGTGCAGTGCTGGAGAAAACGTAAAAACAGTCCAGCCACTGTGGAAAACAGGCTGGGGGCTCCTCAAATGTTCAAGGGAGTGATCATCTGACCCAGCAATTGTACTCCAGGTATCTAGCCAAGAGAAACAAGAAGATACATCCATGCAAACATGTAAGGGAATGTGCAGAGGCGTGATTCACAGTAACCAAGAAGTGGAAACAACCCAAGTATCCATCAGTGCACGAATGGATACACAAAATGGGGTCCAGCTGGGCAATGGAATGTCATTCAGCCGGAAAAAGGGATGAGACACTGACCGAGGAGGTGAGTGGACATATCGTATGATTCCATTTCCATGAAATGTCCAGAACAGGCAAATCCACAGAGAGAGGAAGGGGATTCGTGGTTGCCACGGCCTGGGGGAGGGGGTATGGGGAATTCGAGGGGTGACAGCTAAGGGATCCAAGATTTCCTTTTGGTGTGATGACAGTGGTCTAAAATCGACAGTTGGTGATGGCCGCACAACTCTGTGAACACACGGGAAGTCATTCAGTTGTACACTTTCAATGGGTAGATTACAAGATATGTGAATTATAGCTCAATAAAGCTGTTGAAAACAATTGGAAGGAGAAAATGTTTGCTCCTCCTAGCTCCCCGGCTCCCCTCCCGGGGGGGCATGTCTGTTGCTAGTTTCTGTGATCTCCTTCCGGACACGTTTGTTACACCTGCAAGGAAGTACATTTCTCACTTGTTCTGAACTTTGCTGTGCTCACTCAACCCAGTGACTTAGTAGAGGTCCTGATGCTAAGAGCTGCCTTGTTCTGCCTCTGTTTCTCTCTAACTTACCTATAGAGCATTCCTTTGAATATTCCTTTGCTACTTTTTAATTCCCTTAGCAACGAACATTTAGGCTGATTCCAATTTCTTGCCGCGAAAACATTGCTGTGGGAGGTCGCAAGTGAAAGAATATCAGTAGGAGAAATTTCTAGAAGGGAAATGGTTGGGGCAAAGTGCATGTTCATTTTAATTTGAATAGATACAGCTAAATTGCCCTCTGTTGGGGTTGTGAGAGTTTACTTAGCCAGGTGAGTGCCTACATGGCTTCTGAACAAAGATCTGAAGGATGTGGGGGAAGGATAGGAAGGTCATATTATAGTGTTCCAGGGGGAAGGCAACAGCCTGTGCAAAGGCCCTGGGGCAGGACCAGGCCTGGTATATTGGAGGGAACAGTGAGGAGGCCTGTTTGGCGGGAGCAGAGAAAGCGGAGGGGAGAGGGGGCAGATCATGCAGGGCTCTGTGGGGGGGGGGGGGGGGGGCTTTGGCCTTTACCCTGAATGAAATGGGAGACCGGGAGGGCTGTGGGCGCAGAGGAAGGTCATCACCTGACGGTCTCTGGCCGCTCTGAGGACAGACTGTTGGAGGTCAAGACTCTGCCTCTACCCAGGGGTGTCTGGGTGGCTCACTTGATTAAGTGTCTAACTCTTGGTTTCAGCTCAGGTCATGATCTGGCGTTTGTGGGATCAAGCCCTGCGTCAGGCTCTGAGCTCAGCATGGAGTCTCCTTCAGATTCTCTCTCCCTCTCTGCTCTTCCTTCTGCCTGCACGCGCTCTCTCTCTCTCAAATAATTTTTATAAATCTTAAAAGACTCTGCCTCTACCTGGTTGAGCCCCATCATGGCTCACTGCACCAGAGTGGTAACCTCTGTCCTGGTCCCCCAGCTCCTGCCCTCCCTCTGCCCCCGATTATCTATCCTCCCCAAAGCAGCCAGAGGGCATCCAATGATGACCCCTTGCCCACCAGGGCTCTTACCTGCATCAGGTGAAAGTCCAAGTCTTCCTGAGGCCTCTTATTACCTCCCTGCCCTTACTTTCTTCCCTCTCACGTTCTCCTTCACTCTGTTGCAGCCATGTGGCCCCCTCACTGTTCATCCCACACGCCAGGCACAGTCCTGCCCCAGGGCCTTTGCACAGGCTGTTCCCACCACCTGGAACCCTCCACCCCAGATATCCCCATGGTTTCCCCGCCTCTGCTCTTTCAGTTCTCTGCTAAAATGTCACCTCCTCCAAAGGGCCTCCCTTGCCCAGTCTGGTTAAGACAGTACTGAGCAGTTGAAAAAACACGCTATTTTCATATCCTCAAAACTTATCTGTAATAACTCCTGTTGCTACTACGATCTTGATTTTTAGATCTTCCCACTTACGGGGGCACCTCCTGGGTGCGCAGACACCGCGCTGAGCACTTTGCGGTCTTCATGGGCACCCATCAAGGGAGGTATTATTCTTCTCATTGTACAGATCAGGACAGTCAAGGCTCTGGGAGGTGTTGTGAATTGCCCAAGGCCATCTAGCTAATGAAGTATCTGTCAACGAAATCTCAGGCTGGGTCTCACCCAACCCCAACATTTCACCCCAGCTTCTGCCTCGTGCCCCCTGCACTCTAGATTAGCTCTGACGGGAAGGCCAGAGAAGGGCCATAGTCTGCTCAGGGTAACACAGGGAGCAGGTGGTCAAGTGGGCCTTGAGCTCAGGTCTGGTCATCCCAGGGCTGTTCCACCCCTCCAAGCATCTGCCCTTCCTGGAACCCTCCAGGACCATCCCAGGAGGTTGGCCGGGCTCGAGACGATCCCTGTGACATATATAATAACACTGGTGGTGGAAGCAGCAAGATTCTTGGGGCCCACCCCCCAGCCCGTGCCAGGCACTGTGGGAAGTTCGGCAAGCTAGGCACTATCTCCCTGCCCATTTCACAGATGAGGAGACAGAGGCACAGAGAGGCAACGTCATTTGCAGAGGATCGCACAACAGGAAGGTGGGGGCTCTGGGATTTTTACCTGGATCTTGAAAACTAAAATCCAACCCCCCCCACCCCCGTCTCAGCCACCATGCTCTGATAACAGAGTCCCCAGGGGAGTGACTTGGGGCCAACGTCACTCCACCCACCTCGACTTCTATCTCTGCACCTGGGCCTCCAGGAACCATCCAGAAAACCTCCTCCTCTGCTCAGCAGACCAGAAGCCAACCCTTTTCCTTGCTTCTTCTGATGGGGGCACCATCTCTGTTGTCTGAGGGCTCAAAGACCCTGGAGCGTCACCGGGCATCCAGGCCTCCCAGGTCACAGGGGAGGCCTCTGAACAGCCTTGACTTACTATAGGGTCAAGGACATTGGGGCCCAGTCATTCTCTGGGGGTGTCCTGGGAACTGTGGGGTATTGAGCAGCACCCCTGGCCCCCACCACCTCCATGGCTAACAGCACCCCCCCCAGTCCTGTCAATTGTAGATGTTCCAGACACCACGCTGTGCCCCCTGGGGAGGCAGGATTATCCTGGTTGAGGGGCCCCCCCGCTGGCTTAGTTCCTACCCCAGTTTCAGATTCACCTTTTGTGAACTCGCTGGACCCCCCGGAGGAGCCATCAGCACCTTTCCTTCTTCCTGGTAGAGGCCAGCTCTGTGTCCTGCCCTCCCACCTGCATCTGGTGAGCTTGGAGGACAAGCCCCACCGCTGCCCCTCCCCCATCACTACCTGCAATGGGTTTTCTTTGTGGAAGTCCGAAGTCCCTTGAACCAACAAGTACATTCTCTTCTTCGCCAGTATGTGCTCCCGGCCCATGCAGGAGGCTTGCACGAAGTAGAAGACGTGGCCAATTTTGCTGACGAAGGTAGAAGGAAGCCTGGGAGGTAAGCTGAAATGGAAGTCAAAGGTGTGGCTGCCTGCACTTAACCAATTATCTGAAAGCAAAACACACCGAGGCCATCAGAAGGTTCTAGAATCTTTTCCCTTTTTTTTTTTTTTAACCCCCCCTTCTTTATTTGTTGTCTTGGCAGGGGCTTTGTCCTGGGCCTGGCCCACCTGTCCCTGAGCTAGGCTGAGTTCTGTGCTTTTAGGGATCTGCATGATCCATAAATATTCGGCCTAGGCCTCAGCTGGGCTGGAGGGAGATGCCTGGGTGGATGAGGTGGCTGGGGTGCTCACCCCTACTCTGGCTCTGAGAAACTGGAGGTCCAGCACATTGGTTTAACAAACCCCTCTTGAACCTCTTTCTGTGGGCCAGAGGCTGTTTTAGGCATTATTCTCAGCAGTGAGCAGGGCAGCACAGCTCCCTGCCCTCACAGAGCTTGGCCTTCAGTGCGCAGCATACAGTAGGTGCTTAACATTGGTTGAGTGGCAACTGAGGGCCAGGGAGAAGCTCACACGGCCCCCATTTCTGCAACCTCCCCTGTTTTATTTGTTTCTTTCATTCGTCCAAAAGCCTCTCATTATGGTGTCTTGCCCACCGGATGGCAATCCCAGTGACTCCAGGGACCTTGTTTGTTTTATCCATTGTCCCACCCCCAGCCCGTGGCCCAGGGCCATGTGCAGAAGGTGCTCAATAAATGTTTGCGAAATAAATGAGTGAATCCGTCAGAGGCTTGGGCTTATGCTTTTGAGGGGAAATGCTTGGCAATGGGAAAGGGTGGTACCTGATGCTGGGGGTGTTAGGGTGGGGAGTGTTTGGGTTGAAAAAACACTTACAGAACACTTACTGTATGCCCCACACTATTCTAAGCCCTTTATATACCATTCAGTCACTAAGTCCTCAAAGCAATCTATGAGTGACCCCTTCTTCTGGTTCCCATTTTCCAGATGGGTTAATGGGACACAGAGAGGCAACAGGACTGCAGAGCAGTAAGGGCTGGTATGTTGCCATTCCTCCCCTAGACATCTGCACGGCTGGTGTCCTTCCCATCACTCAGATCTGAGCTCAGTTCCCTCTCCGAAGAGACCTCTCCATGACCTCCCGATCTAAAAATTTTAAAAGTCTAAAATTAAACTTTGTTCAGCCAGGCGTTGGCCGAGAGTTGTGGCATACCTGGGAACACTCCCATGAGCACATTTTGGAAAGGACATGCGGCTCACAGGCAGCTCAGCCTCCCTGACGTTTGTCCAGACCGTGGGACTGAACCTGCTGGACTTGGGGCCTGGTTATTCTCTCCCTGGAACGTCTTCCCTGCCTCCTCTCTCTTTCCCTGGGACCATAGGACTCCTTGTCTCCTTGGCATTTCACTGCCAGAGGGAGATTTATCTGTCAAATAATAAGACAGATTTTTTAAAAAGATTTTATTTATTTATTTGAGAGAGGGAGAATGAGAGATACAGAGCACGAGAGGGAAGAGGGTCAGAGGGAGAAGCAGACTCCCCGCCGAGCAGGGAGCCCGATGTGGGACTCGATCCCGGGACTCCAGGATCACGACCCGAGCCGAAGGCAGTCGCTCAACTAACTGAGCCACCCTGGCGCCCAAGACAGATTTTTTTTTTTTTTTTTTTTTGGCCTTCCCAAGTGGTCATTGGGCTAAGGATAGCATTTTTCCCCCCAGGGAAACGACTTTGAAAGTTGATTTCGAATATGTGGGTTCTGATCAGCTCCTCATGTCTTATTATTTTCGTGTTAAAGTGTATCTGATGGTCATTGTTATACATAGCTTCCCTCCTGGGGAGGAACCAGGCCTCTGCTATCCCTGGGGGTTTGCTGATCCACTAGCAGATGTGTTTACCTTCCAGACCCAGGTTCCTATTATGGCTAGAGTTGGCGGCTGGCTTTGTCCTTACCCTCTACTGGGAATGTCTTCATCTTGTGCACGTAGTCGGCCTTGTTGTTGCAAATAACATCTCTGCTATAATCACGGGATGCCCCGATTTCTTCATTCCACTCCACATAACCCCTTCCCACGAGCTCCACCTTCACAATAGGGTCCACCAGGGTGCTGTTCAGGATTAGAACCACCTGCCCTTTTATGCTGGAGCCGGCTAGGTAGACTGCATCCTTGGGCAACACTAATTCGATCGACTTCACCACAGACATGGGGGGTTGGGATGGGAGAGAAACATCCTCCCTCCTCCCCCATGCCACTGAGATTTCCGGTTCCTTTGCCGCAGTGAAGTCACCTGTCTGTGACATCATCCAGCCAGGGTTCTGGGAAGGGGGTCCCTAGTGGCTGGGATGGGAGATGAGGCTGTTGTGCAGGGGTGGGACAGCTTGGGAATTCCAAAGTCCTCACTGGTGTATGAAATGATACCTTACCCCTTCTTCCTAGGATATAACAGATAAATAAGCCAAACCAACCGCAAGGCCCTAGCATTCCTGCCCCGTAGGGAACACCTGTCATCTTGCCGGGAGGTTAGAGGCCTGGGTGAGAAGAGCTCCTTATGAGCTCTACTTAGAGATGGGGAGGAATGAGGAATGAGCCCCAAGGTCTTTTCTGCTCTATCAGATGGCCCCCAAATGTGGTATGTGCGCTTCTCAGGGTTCATACACTGGTTAAGCTCATACACAGTCATTGTCATTTTAATGGCTCTCTCTATATACCAACCAGTCCCTGTTAGAAAAAAATTATAGAGGGGCGCCTGGGTGGCTCAGCCGTTGGGCGTCTGCCTTCGGCTCGGGTCATGGTCTCGGGGTCCTGGGATCGAGCCCCATGGCGGGCTCCCGGCTCGGGGGACAGCCTGCTTTTCTCTCCCCCTCTACCTGCCGCTCTGCCTGCTTGTACTCTCTGTCAAATAAATTAAAAAATCTTAAAAAAAAAAGAAAAAGAAAAAAATTATAGATATGGCCAGGACATGAAATCTGGTGTGTCCTGACTGAATGCTTAGAGCATTGTGTCCTCCATCTAAACACGAACACCATCTCCTCACACATCTGACATTTCTCTTTACACCTGTGTCTCCCCCATTGAATGGGAAGTCCTTGCAGGGTGGGACTTAGTCTCTGTAAGCTTTGTGCCCACCAACGTCTGCTTGACTCCGGGCCTGGTTCAGACAAGAGGGGTGGCAATAGGTTTGTTGAGTGACTTAACGACCTTCAGGAATATATCATTTTGCAAAAAGGAAACTGAGGCCTTTTGCCCTCTAATGGGTTTCCTGGTGCCTAACTCGCCCATGGGCTGATGCCTAAGCAGGAGGACCACTGGAGCAGAAGAGGTGGCAGGAAGTGTCCATTCCCCAGACTCTAGCAGGCCTCCTTCATTGTCTTTGTTGTATCTCCCTTTATTATTTCATGTGATGTCTTTTGTAGACATTGCCATCTTGTCTCCCTGAGTGGTTTGTAAGCTTCTTCTGGAGAGGCCTGGCATAGTCTTTCACTCATGTTTGTTAACGAACCTAGGCAACCTCTCCAACTTTCTCAAAATGACTGGAGAAATGGGGCCCTCATTTCTTTCTGCAGGGAAAACCAGACCTCTTTTTGAGTTACTTGAGATATCCAAGGGGCCTGGGCCGAGCCCTGCTCCAAATACACCTGAAGAACGTAGTCCCTCTTTTGGTCCTGTTGGATTTTTGCAATAGTACGTGCAAACAAATGATGTGCTCTCACCAGGAATAGGCCAGGTTCCCGTGGCCGATTCTCAATGTGAAAGATCTCATCTGCCTCCCAGACTCAGGGAGGCCTGCCTGATACCTGCTCGTCCCTGAGATTGTGGTCTATACTTGGCTGATGACTGTGAGTCCAGAAAGACACTCAGTAGCACACACGGAGTCCTGAAGTTGGAGAAAGTTAATAGCAAATTCTGGACTTTGGATTTTGGACTCTATCTGTTCCCTATGACTTCTATAACAAATCCCCACAATTTTAGTGGCTTAAAAAACACAAATTTATTCTCCTATAGTTCTGGAGGTCCGAAGTCCAAAATGGGTCTTAAGCAGCTAAAATCAAGGTGTTCTAGGGTTCTAGGAGAGAATCTGTCCCTCACCTTTTCTGGCCTCTATAGGTTTCCCACATTCCTTGTCTGTTGGGTCTCATCATTCCAACCTCTACTTCCCTTGTCATTTCTCCTTCTCTGACTTGGCCCTTTTGCCTCTTTCACTTGTTAGGACCCTTGTGATGATTTTGGACCAGCCTGCATCATCTAGGATACTCTCCCCCACCGGAAGATCTTTAATTTGATCTCATCTGCAAAGTCCCTTTTGCCACGGAAGCTACCATATTCACAGGCTCAGGGATTAGGATATGACAAGCTTTGTTAGAGGGGGGACATTCTTCTGCCTACCACTTGGAAGAACAGCAGAAGGACCAGTGCCTAGAAGGGACTCTGCTCGGGTCCAGAGAAACCTGTACACACAGAAGTTGGAGGCCATCACTCTTCTGCTTACAGCCTTCCCGTGCTGCTCACTGCTCTCAAGAGATAAAAGACCAAAGGCCCCCTTGAGGCCTTAGATGACACCTCTCTGACCTCGTCCCCTCTCTGCCCAGCTACACTGGCCTCCTGGCTGCTCCCCCTACATTTCTAAGCCTTTTCCGGCCTCTGAGCTTGCCCGTCCCTCCTCGACCCATCTGTCCTTGGTTTCTATGTCAGATCTCAGCTCAAATGTCATCCGTTCAGAGAGGCCCACCTCTCCACCTCAACCAGAATGTCCTCTCTGCGCACCCACACATGCCTCTCCAGCTACTGTCCTGTCTTCATCGCTCACAGTGGTATCTGAAATGATTTGCTTTACTGATTCATTTTTTGCCTGTCTCTCCAGACAAGAAATTACCCTTCTGGAGACCACCAACAGGGTTGGCCTTGCCCATTGTTGCCGCCCCCACCCCCCAGCTCCGAACACTGTGTCCAGGCGCTTTGTAGGTGCCCAGCATGGGTCACTGTGTGCCCGCCAAGACTGGCCAGAGCAGAGCAAGCAGGGTGGAGGGGGCAGGGCAGTCCTGCCCGCCTGGACAGCGGGAGAAGGCGGGAAAACGAGGCGGGAAAACCCAGCAAACAAGCCCTGCGGGTGGGTAGGGTGGGGAGCTCTAGCAGGCCCTGATGCCAGGAAATGGAGCTTGGGGCCATCAGGCTGGCCATCGGGGTACAGTCTCGAGAGGGGCCCCCACATTCTACTGCAGTGTTTAAACATTGATTCCGGCCTTCCTTGCCCTCCTGGTCAGCGCATGCCCGTGCCCCGGGAGAGGGGCTGTGGAAAAGGACTTAAAAGGTCAGGGGGACTCTACCCGGGGTCCCTGCCCAGGGGTATCCCTAGGGCTCCTGAGGGACACGCAGAGTCGGGGGGGGCCAGCTCCCGCCACTGGGTCGGGTCGCACACTGGGTGCGCCCAGCAGAGCGCATAGGGCTGGGCGGGGCCGTGGCCCGCTGGGCGGAGTGGGGGTGGATGGAGGAGGGGGCGCCCCCCACCCCCTTTCTCGCTTCCCGCCACTGCGGCGGCCAATCACCAAGCAGGAGCCCGCCCCTGGCGCGGCCTCCCGCGGCCCCGCAACTCCCAAACGCCGAGTTTTCGCGGGAAAAAAAATCAGAGCAGCTGGCAGCGCGGCGGGCAGTGGTGGCCGTCCAGGCGCTCCGGGTCGCAGGCAGGTCCGCGCGGGGTCCGGGGCCACGCACGCGTCTCTATCGCCATCCCCAGCCGGGCCAGGCGCGCAGGCAGGAGAGTGGATCGAGGCGGCCGGAGAGGTGAGCCTCCGACTGATCGGGGTGCCATCCTGGGCCGGGGGAAGGGCCCGGCGGCACCGGGCGCGGAGACTTTGCAAAACTTTCGGGAGCGGCCCGGGGACGCGCGGCCAGTACCAGCGCACTCGTGCCCGGTAGCGTGGCTGTTCTCCACGCCGTCTCGGGCTCTGCCCCCGCCCTGCGGCCCTTGGGAATCGTCCCCCGCAGCCCGGGCGCCGGCAGGGGCGAGAGGAACATACTCAGAGCCCCGCGGGGGTCGCGCCGGCCGGGTGGGGGAGGGCCTGGCGAGCCACAGGGGAGGATGTCAGGCTCCGCGCCTGCGCGCGGGCTGCCCTGGGATTCAATTGTCGCGCCCGAGCCCGATTTCGCGCGCCCTTCGTTCCCCGGGCGCGCCTGGGCCAATGGGGAGCGGGCGGGGCGGGGCAGCCGGGCGCGGCGGAGCCAGTGAGCGAGTCGGCTCAAGTGAAGGGGGCGGGACTTGGCGCGCGGGGCCCCTCGGCCTGTCCCGGCGGTGGGGGTGGGCGTGGGCTAGTTGGCGTGGCCCGAGCGAGCGGGCGGGAGAATAAGAGGGGCTCTGGGCTCGTGGGTCTGGGTCCCGGGAACGCGAGCCTGCGCGTGTGGCCGCCGCCGGGCCGAGGTGAGAAGCGCGGCGCGCGCGGGGGCGGCCGGGACGGGGCGGCCGGTTGCCATGGCCACCGCGGGGGCCGGCAGTGTCGCGCACGCGCGCGGGGGGAGGCGGGGGCCGCGGGCACCCAGGGTTGGGGGCTCCAGGGTCGGGGGGGTGGTCCTTCGCCTTCGGTCACACTTAGTTGAGTTACTGGGACTTCGGAAGTTCCAACCCGCGCCGGAGTTTTGGGTTCTCCTCTTGCGTCAGTATTTATCCAAGGAATGAATGAATGAATGAATGAATCAATGAACGAACGAAGAAACCTGGTTCCTCGCTATTTGGCTGTGTCCTCCTTACTTCTCTGGATCTTGTGTGTCTCCCCCCCCACGCCCCCGCCGTGAAAGACGGAGTGGGTTGGACTGAGTGGTCCAAGATGCCGTTTGCCTTCCCCTCATTCACCCTCCCCTCCTCGTTCCTGCGCCGTTGCTGGTCGTTAATGCGTTAATTTCTTCATTTACTCCGCGGGGCCCTGGTCAGCTGCGGCTCTTCCGCGGACCAGCGCGCTGGGAGGGCGTCCTGGGAGTTTTCTAGTGTCCACAGACTGGACAAAAGCCAAGATGACCTGAGCATGGCACGGTGTGGTGGCGGCAGCAGCACCACTGACCCAGGGGTCCCGCTCTCTCGCCTTCAGCACCAGCAGATACCATGTGGATCCAGGTTCGCACCATGGACGGGAAGGTGGCCCACACTGTGGACTCACTGTCCAGGCTGACCAAGGTGGAGGAGCTGAGGAGGAAGATCCAGGAGCTGTTCCACGTGGAGCCAGGCCTGCAGAGGCTTTTCTACAGGGGCAAGCAGGTAAACCCGCCCTGTCGGCTGCCGCCCGCCCAGCACCTTTGTTCTTGCCTGGTCCAGGCGTCGTACATATACTCTCCCCGCCCCTCGTCCGGTCCCGCTTCACGTCTCCACAGAAACCTCAAATGCCTGAGCCAGGAACAAAGGCTCCACTCGCAGATCGACATACCGGGCAGGAAGCTGGCACTCCAGTCCCTAGCATTTGGGCTTTTAAGTCTGCCCCCCCTCCCCGGTTTTTTGAAGCTTCTCTCAATATAATTTCTAGAAAAGGAAGTTGGAGGTGGCCAATGGAGGACTGATGAATTTCGAGGAAGAGCCTAGAATCCTTTCTCAGTAGGACGGAAGGGACCAGGTTTTCCTTTGAAACACACACCGATGGCCCCACAGCTTGCACCTATTTAGAGTTTGACCCCACAGGGTCTGTTTTCGAGAAATTTGGATCAGCTTGTTCAGAGGCTGGAGATGGCGCTTGCTGGTCAGGAATTTCTGCCAGGAGCTCGTGCTTTCCTTGGGGTCTGCGGGCCCCGCTTTTCTGCGTCCTCTCTCCTT